AAATGGTGAGAAAAAATCCTTATCTGATTTGGTGAGCAAAATTCTGCTGACTTGAAAAATTCTGCATACCGAATTTTACGCACCACGTACCTCCTATGTCTATGAATTTGAAAGTCCTCGTTTTCATTGGAATCTTGCCGGCACTCCACACTGCGGTGCCATCGATCCCCGTGACCATAAAACAGCAATGCACACGGAGATACCCTCCCCCCACATTAAAAATCATATGTCTACGCTTTTGAGACTTTTGTTTTCGTTCGAATATAAAATTACGCCATCCTCTTATTCAAATGCTTTGAGCTCAATTAAGTATCAGCACAGGGAGCCCATGAACTATGATCAACTGTATGCATCGCCATAATGGGGGGGGGGGGGGTATCGGCTGGTATCTAGTGTAAGCCGATATCGATAGAAACTGCATACAGTTGAACAGTTGATCACAGTTCCTGTGACTTCTTACGCTGGCTGAAAATGTCTTTGTAAATATATACATAATCGCCGCAATGCCCACTGCTGTATTGCAGTTCAATAGCTCACTGGAAATCTGCCTCTACAGCAAGTGGGACGATTGCCAATACTAGTCAGATTACAAGCCAGGTACCCGTTATTGAACAGACATCGAGAGTGAAACAATTAATTATCTGATATTTCGCCCTCAACGAATGAATCCGTGTTTACAATGCGTCTTATCGGGTCAGAGGTCACCTAACACGCGCTTGTCAATAGCAGTGGAAAAGTACCGGTTTACATATTGTAGTCAGAACGAACCCGTGCATTTATACATAGCGAATGTTAGCGTCGATAGTCCTGCTAAATTTCCACGGTAAGTTAAGTGAAAATGATTTACTAGTTTTTCTTGGTATGTTATTTTAATGCATTTTTTGTTTGAGTTACTGACAAAATAGAAATGCAATAACGCCAAACACCAAAAAATGCATGCAATCGTGTGGATTTCACGTTAGAAAACATACCAAGCATTTATCATGTAAGCGGACTTTGATTGTTAACATTTTGCGATTTTTTCACAATTTATATATATTATACTTTTTGTCGACTGTCTTTAAATACAATGATCTATTTGTTACTGTTAATTTAAAATTTATTTTACGCGTATCGTTTTGTGCCTGCGCCGCCGAGAATTCGGTCCAGCCCCGGCCGATCCAGTCTAGACAGTCTAGTCATTCTGTTCTTAATGTTATTTATATACTAGTATTATATACCGTTGATGTTTGTTATATATGTATTGAACACACTTTTACTGGACTATGGGACATTTGCTTGGTTAAGTTCACTGGTACATGGTCCAATTAGCCGTGTCCTTGTGCTGACGTGTGTTGCTCAATATGAAAACTTTCTGCATTGTAATTTGTATTTTAATTAAATTTATTTTATTTTGCATGGTGTTAATTTTTAACATTTAATTGCTTTTATAAATTGTAATGTTAAATTTATTTTTGGACAATCTAAAACAAATATAATTGCTGATGTGCAGATTTTCAAAGAAATAAATTATTCTGCTAATACATGTATACATTGCATTTAAGATGTTTCATGTGTTATATTGTGACCTTAAATTGGCTTTGACAATTCGAACACATCATTGTGATTGGTCAAAAAAACAGACGTGTTATGCATGTATTCATGACAGGTCACATTGATATTGATAGAAGTGATGTAATGCTAATGAATATATGCACAGGATGGGCGTGTATTGTTGGTATAATGACAGTATAATGACAGTAGACTATCATTTGCCCGGGTATATCGTGTGATATCATACAATAATACTTGATCTAATCTGATAGCCTCTATTTACGAGATTACGAGACAGCAGTGGTCATTGAAAATTTGTGTGAAACAACTACTTGATTTGATATTTCAATATTTCTAAAAACTTCAAGTCTGCAGAACGATGCTATGTTGATGCTTCATAATAATAATAATTTAATAATAATAATAATTTATTGACACAACACCGATATAGTACAATACGGCAGTATGGCCACTAAATACAACTATTAACTACATTTAAAATAGAATTAACAATATATATCAATTCATATATATCATATATCAATCTGTCTGAGGTTGGGTCAAATAAAGTTCACCTGTTTTTATTGGTTAATTTATTACTGTAGAAACGGGAAGCGTGATAATAAAGTGGTGTTGGCTGAGTGGATCGCATTGTGTCGCATGCAATGTCAGACACATAATTTGATGTTATTACCACTTCTGAAAACTTCACTAGTGTTTTGGTGAAAGAGAAGAAAGAGGTGTTATAAAATGTAAACATTGAAGTAAATTGGAATATTTTTTATGTCAAGAAACGTGCATTTTTTTATTGGAATCTTGTCTGAATTAAATGCCCACTTGGTTGTCATGGTTACCAGAATGCAAAGGTCTATATTAGGTTAATAAGCATATTTAACATAAACATTAATCACATTTGTTCACTGCGTTTACAGAACATCATTTACAGCATACATTCTGATATCAGTGTAACAGATCTGTAAATTTGTGTTATTTGTTATGTTAATTTTACTGACACATCTTTGTTTTAGAGTTCTTGTGGTAAACCTTTTAACAAAAACCTCATACTGATACAATAGCTGACCTACTATTCCCCATACAAGTTGGTTTGTGACCCAGTAATATTACATTGCTTGCATAGACATGTCACCAGTGTTGCGTTGTAAACCAGTTAGCATTGTTACACAGCCGGAATATAACACCGTTGTTAAACCGCTGCCTCTTTGCCACATCTGGTACTTACCGCAAAAAGGCTTGGATGAAATGTGCCTACATTGCAATAGCTTGCAACTGCACCAATCAACCGACATGTAAGAAGCAGACAATCAGTGCCCTGAATCTAAAGCAAACACTGATTGGTCAATTTTTTTCATGACGTTTATTCATAAATATTCAAATCAAAGTTTGCAAATAAAGGCTTTGCCACGGTGTATTTTGCCAGATTATTTGGAGTGTAGCAGATAAATACTATGGCGAGTGAGAACTGTATTTTAACTCTGGTAAATTATGTTGGGAGTTTTGGGTTATGTTACTTAAAGTACTATAAGTTTATTCTGATCTTAAGAGTCGTATACATACAAATATTATCATGTATCAGCTTGTAGGTCATTTCACATTATTGTATTAGGAGTGACATGTATATTGTCTTTGCTTTGTGTGGTGATAGTTTTGTCGTCTAATGAGATTTGTTCAGTCATTCAAAGGCGTGCCTTAACTTAATACTACTACTGTAAATTCCTTTATTTTCGGCTGGAATTAATTTTCGTGTTCGCTGAAAACACGTATTTGGTTGTTTTGTATGGAGTTTATTTTATCTGAGTTAAATTATAGGAAAAAAGGTATTTCACAGGATTTTATTTTCAATGATTCTTTCCTTCAGCGAAAATAAATTCAAAGTAAAAATAAAGTAATTTACATTAAACTGATCGGGACATAGATGTGGTAAAATGAGTTTGGAACATGATTTGTTGGTAAAGTTTTAGGTGGTACTGTATATGATAAAAAAAGAAAACATCACCAATACCGCAGGAGGTAAAAATAAATTACCTTCATTGCTTTGACTTTGTCTACATATCTATAATAAGTTGGTGAATGGTTAGGTGATTTATTGAGGTTTTATAGCTCGCCTTTTTTATTATTTGCTAAAACTCAAGACTTTACAAATGTTTACCTGATGTGACATAAACCAGAGTTTATCTGTACCATGCCATACATGTATGCCCTAGAAACAATAAATGAATGTATTAAATAAAACATCTACATCAATCTAAATTGGAAACACAAGAATGAAAGGAATGTTTGAAAATGTCCTCTTTCAATAAAATCTACTAAAATTTGTTTGTGAAACGTGTGCAAGTATTCAAATAAATATCTAGGTGAGTTTGAGTGTAGCATAATTGATAAAATAATTATATGTAGTCCTCATAAAGTAAGGCTAACAAAAAAGTGTATAGTGAGGCTCCTATTTTCAGCTCCATTGTTGAATTTGTCGAGCAGAGCTTGTTCATGTAACTGATTGTCTTGGATTCGCATCACAAGTTTTACAATTTGTTGGATACATTTTATAATATGTTCGAGTGGTCCTCTCTCAAAATTTTTAATTGCGTGATATTTTTAATTCTATAAATTTGATGAATATTTTTGGTAAAAATTGCTGTTTTCTACTTCTTGAAAGACCCAAGTCTGATTGCTTTGATGTTGAATATATAGGTATTTCTGGTGGGTCTCTCAGATTTGTTCATTTGGTAATATTTTCAATTCTCTAATTTTTATCATTTATATATTTCATATATTTTTTGTCATTTCCGACATGTTCTTGAAGACTAATTACTTCAATGTGCAATATTTTAGGAGATGTGACATTCATCTTTTAAGCTTGTATGCATGCTACCTAGAAACGAGATGGAAAATAGTTAGTTGAAGAGTTGGGCTAATCAAAATAACAAATAACAAATTTATAGATAGAAAGATAAATCATTTCAGTTTGTTCAATTCATAAACATAACCACAAATAAGAAAAAAACACAAAAAAAACTGCTTAAATGACTTCCTTGACTGAAGAAGATGAAGGGCGCCATCTAGTGGGCAAGTTAGGATTTGCCTGCTTTACATACTAGTCTTTATTATAATAATGAATTTGTAACTAGTCACTTAAACCATTTGAACTGAAACCTTCACTGTGTGCAGATAGGTATGGTTAGGTTGACTCTTTTTATGCTTGCTTCACGTCACTTTAAACAAGGAATACTCACCAAAGTAAGTGTATAAGTGATGTGGATATAATTTATTGGTGTTATTTTTTTGTTTTTAGGAAAAGGTTAAGAATTCTAATTGCAAAAATATGTCTGATGTTTTGATTGTTTTTTCATCCACAGAAAACCATTACCTGGAGCAAAAAGATGAGTGACAACATTGATGCCAAATCTGTGATTCTTGCCTTGGCAACTACATCAGCAGTTGCCTTAGCAACGAAGCATCTCGTGAATCATTTCTCAAAAAAACGTGAAGAAGGAGAAGAAGATAATGCGTTTCCACCCGAGTTCGGACGGAAAATGAGAGAACAGGAATTTTTTCTGGATAAAGATTCAGCTTTTATCAATCATTGCTCTTGTGGTACCATTCCTAGGAGAGTTATGGCCAAACAGAGATGGTGAGTAGATAAATGTTTTTACATCTTTTCTCTACCCATACCTCAGACCTTTCTTTTTAAGGTGGGCAACAGCTATCCAGCAATTTGCTCATCCAAACTTTCAAGGGAAGCTGGAAAAAAACTTTCCTAAAAAAAATAATATTATTATCACAATTAAAGACATGCAAAATGGTTCTCGGCACATTAAAATTACTCCCATAACTCATCTCGGTGCTTTTAGGAGAGCTATTTTTCAGTCTTTAGTCATTTTCAAACTGATACATGAATGATCAGCATTTTTAATGTATGCTATCACTTCACATAGCAGTTAATTTTAGCATATTTTGATGTGTTTCATAAATTTGACAAATGTATTTATAATTTTATTTCCTCCTTGTTTGCTAAAAGTCTAAACAGTTTGCATCATACAATGAAGCACAATGTTATTATCCACTGTGGCTAACACCTTTTTATCCTTAGTTGAAGCTCTGGCAAAATTTACACTTGGGATGGGGGGAGGTTTGGGGTATTGTTTAAAAATTTTAAAACAATGGAAAACCCTTGTTCTTTTAATCAGATCATATTGTATTATTCAAATGAAGCATGTAATGAACTATTTTATCCTCATTAAAGATTCAAAAAAATGTAAATGGATAAATTCGCTAACAAAAGTGAATTATTTGATTTCTTGGCTTTGTACTATACTACTGTTTTCTCAAGTCAATATTTGTAAAGTGCTTCATCTGTCGTCTTTTAAAAGTCAATAAAATTCTCATTTTGAAAGAAAACATTAACTCTGAATCCCAGTTGAATTGACTGAATAATTTATTGTTAAAGTGAGATTTGTTTCTGTTTTTAATAAAAATCGTGACTGGAAAGTCGATGGTTTGTGGATATTAAATTGAGGTTTCAAATTTGATGTGATATTGAAAAACAAAAATTAATAACACAAGGTATTTCTGATAATGTACCATAGTCTTTTTGTCTGATAAATTTACTGTAGTTAGTATTTAATAAGAAATGAATTCCTTTTGTACATCTTTGATTGTATCCCATACCCAAGATTAAGATGAATTGGGTGGCTATGAATACTACACTAACTTCAATTCATTGCTATGCAGATTTCCTTTCTTTGTGTGATCGTAGAATTCGTTTTTATTCAATTCAGTTGAGTAAGTGCAGTTCATCACTTTTACTCGCTGACATTTCTTGTTGGACATCAATAAACTACTTTCTTCTTTTTGTCAGCAATTTTTCAAAGAATATAGATCAAATATTGAAGCTGCAAGCCAAGCATATTTAATACAACTTTTGTTAAAAAAAGATAACTTGTGTTTTTTTTTAATATATGGTGAGACGTCAGTGATTACCTCAAAATGTTTTTATTTCAATTTGTTCTGAAACTAAAATTTTGTCAAAATGTGTGTTTATGTAATTTATTCTTGTGTTTGCATAGGACTTCCAGCAAACGTGTAACTTGCATATAACCAAGATGCTTACTGGACATCAGGAATTTTTCAGTGATGTCTTACATTTTATTCAATCATTTCAAATAACATTTCTGTTGAATCTACATTTTTATTCACAAAACATGGCAAATAATAATATCCCCTGATCCTAGTTGCCATTTTGGACGAAATGTTCTAAACCAATTTTGAGACGGCTAAACCCCCTGCATGTCTTACACTAAGTGGAGTTATGATGGCTTGGATCACAAGTTATTGAAAATATCTTAAATGAGTGTATTTTGTCAGGTTTGAAGATGAGGCTGAAAGAACACCTGATTATTTCTATAAACACAGAACTATTGGCTACTATGAAGAGGCACTTAAAACCATTGGTGATTTTATTGGTGCCGATCCTAAAGACATGGCATTTTCTAACAATGTTACAACAGGTAAGTTCAATACGTTATTTTTAAGTTATGGGTTGGTGTATTCTGACAGACTATACCTTATGCTATTGCAAGGCTGAATTTAAAAACTAAAAAGTTGCCTGTCCATTGGACAGGTTGGCGAATAAAAGTACTTGTTCCAATTGATTCTGTACTAGTACCTAGCAAGATGAATTTGAACTAATAATTACTCAAAATAAAATTTTAATTTTTGGCTTGTCATTATTTAAGAAATCTGCAAGCAATTTTCTGAACATTATAAACTTAGGACTACCTTATTCGTTCAATTACTAAAAATTTATCTTTATTCACTTATCCAGGGAAAGGAAATTTGTTCATTTACCTGTTCTAGCTAAAGTTTAACTGTCTTGGACAGGTGGATAAACCTTTATTTTGATCTCTGTATTGCTCTGGCCTGTTTTTTATTAATCTTTGTGCGATAGAATAGAATAGGGAAATGGCTTACGTGTAATAATAAATTTTAATCTATTTGCTCCTTCCCTGTCAATCATACTGTATTTTTATTCAAATATTTACTCCTACACACAGTGTATTAGTCGTGACAACAATGATATAGTGCTTATCAGATACAGTTTTCTACTGATCTGTCACTTTCTATTATGACAATGGGACAATGCATCAAAGTGTATGATTTTTGAAAAAACATATTTTTTTTAGTAGTAGTGCCTGTAATTGTTAGGGATGTTTTGATGGTCAAAATCAGTTATATTTTAGTAAATCCAGCATATTGAATCTAATTTCTGATTTGTGTGCATTTCTAATAGAGCAAACACTGTAATTAATAATAACATAATATGAATATCAGAATAAGTTTTCCAATCTAAATATATTTTTTTTCTCAGCTATCAATGGTGTTTTGAGATCCAAGAAGTGGCAACCTGGGGATGCGATATTGATTACAAACTTGACATACCCCGCTGTCAGTTTTACTACTGTGGATGTTTCTGAACGTATGAAAGGTATGTTTATACGAGATGAATTGCTGTAGTTTACCTAACACAACCACCATGTGTCTATGTATGCTATTACCTAGATACCCTCTTGTACATTTTTTTTTGTCGGTCTAAAACACTTTTAGAAATGTGTGTGGGAGTAATCTCTATCACTTGTTAATCTAGAGTACCGTAGTCACAAAGAATATAATTACTGATGTGAATAGCAATTAATCTGTATGTAAGCTATATGTCTGAACATTAATACTTGTGTCTCCGAGATGTCTACTAATTACTGTCATGCATATGTCTAATTAATGAGTGCCTTATATTTGTGTCAGTTGAAGTAAGATATACAGTACCAAACAGCATTTTTTTTAAATGTATGTTTTTGTCGATTTAGTTTCAAAAGTGTTAATAGAGACGGCTTACATGTACATTAAGTTTTCGTTGTATACTAATACTGTAAATTGTAGGGCATTAATATCTTTGGAATCTACGATAATATGTGCAACCTTCATGTGTACAACTAAGTAAATTGTCATATCAATTACTACCTGCTTACAAATGTAATTATAAGAAGCATAATTGAGTGTAATGTTTTAGCATAATTTGAAACTATCATGTGGTATCATGTCTGCGGTGAATCATTGCCTCAACAAAAGGGGAAATAAAGTTAGTCAGTTGGGGAATATGATACTGAGACAAATCTATGAGTCCAGTGAGTATAGAGATGTAACCAGTAATTATTCTAGAGTAGATTGTCGATACTCAGCTTTTGCTCCTACTTGCAGGAAGGCTGTTGATTAATAATTACCATCATATGGAAAAACCTGCTAATAGCTTAAGGCTGATGATAGAGTCTAATCTTGATTATTAATAAAACATTAATAATACTGAAAGACAATGGTCACTATGGTTACTCGTCATAGATATATAAATTTATCTGTTGCTGCTATTAATGCCGAAAGCTTTCATTTCATGATGTATCTGAATTATGAATACATGAACCCTGACTTGAGCTCTCACACTGTTAATGTCATAGAAATATGCTATTATAATCCCCTTCATTATTGTATTCTATCTAACTATAAGATGTGAAATCCTAATAACTGCAATTATTCATTATGCTTCGGGATATTGCAGTTTTGTTAAAAGTAGCTTTTAGTGACATTTCTATTATTGATTTTCATATTGTTTTTTAAAACTGTTTTTAGATTTAGGCTTTTTATAAAAATGACATTACATGTCTGTGTGTGTCTGTGTGGATTCTTGAAATTTGAAGGCATTGAGGAAATTGTGGCTGACCAGTAAAAAATATTAATAGGACTACAAAATTCATTTGAATAAAGGACCACAAGCAAATACAAATCTGAAACAGTGTTTTTGTGATTTATGTATGACAGCATTAAATCTACCTCACTGGCCATTTTGAATTAGAAAATATTCACATGCATAAAATAAAAGTTCGTAATTCAAAAAAAAAAAATCTTCAAAACAATCAACCACAAAGACAACATTTCTGAATTTGTTGGCTTAATTAAAAGTGTATTACTTATTATTTTAGCAAAATTTAAGTAAGTTATTTTTTTGTGTATGACTTTGAACATGATTGGTTTCGAGTCACTTTCTGGTATTGTTATTTTCTGAAGTTTAAATATTCGTGACACAAAGACGTGCAAGATAATCATCAAACGCAGAGATCTGGAACATTCTTTTATTACCATCCTCTGTAATCTTTAAGATTTTCACAAACATTAAAAAAGGCTATAATAAGCAATTGATGTGTAGAAGGATTAGGACTCAACCATTTCATTTGTAGGTAGGGAGGTAGGAATATCTGGATGGGGTGAGCAATTTTATTGGGTGGTTGAATTAATGTAAGCCTGATTTGAGATGGGGGTGGGGGTAAAATTAATTTGTAACAATTAAGATTGTTGAAATCCATGAGGTGTAAATTTAAAAGGGTATGTTCTTAATTAGGAAGGTATAACTAGCTCATTTTCTGTGCAAGATGAAAATTAATTAAGAATCAGTAAAGCAGTATGAGCTGTTGATGGTGTATGACTAATCCCAGTGACTGTGTAATGTTTGTAATTACTGTCAATCATTATAGATGTCATTTATTGACATGCGCTACACTGATTAATAATATTAACGATGTACCAAATGGTGTGAAGTCATAATGGGATATCAAGTAAAATAATAGCTATAAAATATGATGAATTGCAAATTAATTTTTGTTTATGTGCTGCGAGTATTAAATTCACTATTTCAGTATCTGTGCTTGTTAAATATTTATAAAATATTGAATATTCATGCATTGAGAAAAAGTTCTGTTTAGATGGTTACATATACATGTATCGTACTCAGATACAACAGGGCATGTGGATTTCAGTTGGCAAGATGAATATTGTGTTTTAATTTTCTTCATGCCTGGCATCAGCTCCCATTTCGCTTGCTTTAATGTGTTGACACACATAATGCCATTTTCTTTAGTGCAATTTATATTCAACTAGTACTGTATCTCCATTATCACATCTTGCAATCTCATCGGGGACCAATAGGATGTGGTTTGTTGCCTTCTCAATTCGTATAAGATGTATTATGATTGCAATTACTAGAGACTGTTCCATTTATCTAACTCACTATAGACACCTTGAAATTTAATGTTCATAGCCACTGGGATTTGTCTTTGGTGTGAATTGAATGTTTAGCTTCTTTTAACACACATGGGACTCAGTATGATAAGATCTAATGGCTTTATGAAAAAAGGGTTTCATTACCACGTAAACACCGGTTACTTATGCCGTACTGCATTAATCTCTAATTCTATGAGACACAAATCTGTGTTTGGATGAGGGGGTTGTTTCATCATAGACTTACTTAAATCCTCAATAGGTGAAGTTCAATGCATCCATTTTTGAGAGCACAATTTATAAAATGGATTGAAATTGTAGTGGAGCATCAAAGCAATTTCCTCCATGCATTTTGTCAATATCAAGTCCTTCATTCCATGTGTAATTTCAGTATTATAAATATTTGCATATTCTGATGTATCAGAACTTGAACTTCAGAATTGTGAGGTGCAAAACATGTTGAAATCATTTTCGTGTCATCAAAACTGTGTGCTAGCAGCTCCTCACTCCTCCTCTATTCGTGTTTTTTACCTTGCCCGTACCATCAAAGATGGAAGGGAAAGGTATATTAAGGGAAAAATTTTGTCCGGCGTTATCGTTGTTGTCGTCTTCGTCGTTAATAATTGTTATTGTGTGCATAATAACTTTACTAATTCTATTTCAAACTCTATCAAACTTGGTCACCTTATTCATCAGTATAAAGTCTTCCCTGAGTTTGAACAACAGATGTCCTGTATGAAAATGTGCAAAAATTTTGAAAATCTGATAAAATATTTTGACTGTTTCTACTTGACTGATCACTGGTGATACACATCAAAGGTCACTGATCTCAGTGGAAATATGCATTGTTGTATGTGTTCAATGAAGCAAATGATTTATCTTGTAATAATATCCTTGGTAATGTATCTCAGAATCCCATACTGGGTTTCAAAACCAACTCCTGGAGAGATTGCACAGTCTGATACAAATTTGCAAACCTACCAATAAAATCTTTACAGAAAACAAGATGTCAGAAAATCAATATAAGCACTCCTATGAACTGGGTGCCTAACTTTGATCAAGATCTGAAGCTAATAGAAAATTTGTTTAGTTCAAAGTTATCAAATCAAAAACAATACATAAAAAAATACATTAAAAGCAAAACATTTCATCCACATTTTAAAATGAAAATTATTCTAAAATATATGTATTCTGTATTTGACAAACAGTTCATTCGACAAATGAAAACTCACAGGAATA